TTCCCTCTAAAATTTGAGTCATTTTAAGACTCTAAACCATATCATGAGGTAGTAGGCAGTCAAAATTTTAAAACTAAAGGTCAACATGAAAGGCGAATTTGTGCCACAGAATTTGTGTGTGACGTGACAACAGGGTTCACAGTTTGTTGAGGTTTCATGGAAGGGAGGAAGAGTGTACAGAAAAGAAAACTTTATTTAACAAGAGCCAAGAACAAACTTACGAGATAATTTTTGAAAAGTTTAAATCAGAGGATGCTGTCATCTCCAAGGAAAATTAAAGGTCAACCGTGCTTGTCTGGTGAACTTGTGGGGAGGCCCTCCTGCAAGTTCCAGGAGTGCTGGACTTGGTCAGCAGAGAGGCAGGTGACCACACAACCAAGTCCTCCAGGAAAACAACAGTGCTAAGGGAAAGCAGAAGGCAGGAGGAAAGAATGGGAGCAAGGGAAGAAATCAGATAGTGACCAAAAACCCCAAAAAGGCACTGTCGAGGGACTGGAAATGAACAAGGGTGAGCTGAGAGGCTAAGGACTTCACAGAGTACACGTTTCCCCTTGAGGGAGAAGCAACTCCCACAACAGAAGTAGTATTAAAGGATTTTGTTTTTGAGATGTGACTTCCAAGACATTTTTAAGTGAAAGTGGGAAAATAAAGAATTCCAATACTTCACCCTATTTGTTGGGATAGCAAGTGTAATAGAACATTCTGGAGTAGCCTGCAGTCATCATAAGTGTACCTACTGCAAATGAAGTAATAGGAGGTTAAAAACATAGACTTGCAAACTCAGAAATCTAATGACTGGTTTTCTCCTGGGCTTTTTTTTTTTTTTTTTTCTGGTGGTGGCTGCTTTCTGGTCTCTTCCAGAGTTCTATTGGAAGGTGCTATCTTTTGTTTTTCACAGAATGTTAATCCAGGTGTGCCTGTATTTTTACTGTAAATTTTTGTGGCGCTGCCTGAAATTTGTCATGAGGAAGCTAACTGGAAGATGTGAACTGCAACGGATCTGTTACAATACCAAGCCTGGAGCTTCTAGAACCATGAAAATTGGTAAGCATGAAACAAAGAAGTAAGAAAGATGTAGAGTTGGTGGGATAGGATACAACATTATATTTCAGTAAAGTAATTTGTAGTAAACTATTTGTAAAGAATCATTTTTGAATGACTTTTTTGTTACTGCCTTGACAGAAACATCACTGAGAGATTCAAAAAGTAAAGTATGTAAAAATTTTAAATCAACTTTCATTTGGAGGTTTACTTCTATTACAAAAAGTAAAAATTTTAAGAAACAAAAAATGTACCATTAGCTATGAAAAGCAAGCAAACCAAGAATTGCTTGCCTATCACAAACCATTGAACAAGGGGTCTTCAAAACTTTCATGAAAACCATATGTTATGAAAATGCTTTGCATGGATTTCTTTTTCTTTTTTTGAGCGAAATAAACTTGTTTTGAATGTATTAGAATTCCAGTATATGCCATCAATTGTTATTTTTAGTTTATATGTTCATATAAAAGCTTAAACAAATACCTGAAACCTCTATTCTAGTAGACAGAGTAAGCCGCTAGTGGTGATGAAAGGGGACTGACTAACCCATGTTTTCTAGCTGTTGCAGACTTCAGTGAGTGTTCACCCTGATGCTATTGAAAAAACTATAGAAGACATCATGGAACTGAAAAAAATTAACCCCGACATAAATCCACAGTAAGAATATGCGTTTTTATGGCAGACATGCACGACACAAGTCACACGGCCACATATTTACTGTTTCTCTCCCTCTTCCCCTTTCTCTCCCGCCCTTCCTCTCTCTCTTCCCCCTCCTCCTTCCCTTTCCCTAACGTAATTATCTGTGATGTTTTGACTTTCAGATAAAGAATAAAGAAAAAAGGTGCTTCTTTCATGTTTGTAAATGGCAGCCACCTTCTCCTTCTTTTGTGGTTTCTGCTTATGTTTCTGCAATGGCTAAGAAATGTGACAGGTGCCCTGAATACAAGATAAAGGAAGCGCATTCATCCACGACCGCTCTATTTGATGCTTATGTTTTACATTAATGTTCAAATTGTAAATGTGCCTAAGCTGATTCTGCCCCATCTAGAATATTCGTTCAGTTCCTTCATGAATATTCCTTCACGGCAAGCTGATAATCTTGGAGATAGTTCCTACCTGCTTGTCAAGAAGACGGGCATGTGTGGGAGGGAGAGATGGTTTTTATATGAAGACTTTAGAACTTTATAATTTATTCTTCTCATCTTGGAAGTATTAAAATGCATCTGGCAGTGTACGTGACATTTAAAATTAGCTTTATGTTTTCCATTGGGTACAGTAATTTTTCAGGAAATTTGGGGCTAGGGACATTGGGTAGATTAAATTCCAAATGCAGATATATTTAGAGACAGTTTTAGCATGGTAATAATCAAACTGTCATCTAGACGTGCATACGTGAGAACTTCATATGTTACCACTGAGAAAGGCTTTTAATTACCAAACAAGGGGCTGTAGTTGAAGGGGATTTCAGAGCACAATTTGCACAGGTCTGTCTCTTGGAGGGATTCTAGATATCAGTTATCTAGAGGCTCATCACAAAAACTCTATTTCCACTGGTCTCTGCAGCCTTCTCCTGCAGCCACTTCAGCTAATCAGCTGCTTTTCCCCCTATTCAGTCATTAAAAGTTGATTTAATTATATCATAAAATATTTTGGAACCTCTGGCATATATTTTATTCCACTGAGGAAGGTGATGAGAAGGCAATTCTTTCTGAATTAGGTTGAACCAAAACTTTAAGACTACATCTGGGCATGAGGGATGTTATTAGTCCTATAATCATATTTAGAGATTTGATTAGGTTTCATAGCAAATCTTTTTTATATCTGTTCTGCAAAAGTTATATAATTTGCTTTCAAAAACATTGCCTTTGCAATCCATTCTTTTGGTTTTCTTTAAGGAAAAAAAAAACCCTAATATATCTATCTATCTATCTATCTATATATGTATCTGTATGTATCTATCTATCTATCTATGTATATATATATATATATATTTTAACATTTCAGTGTGAATTCTAGTGATTTTTTTTTTTTGAGAGAGAGAGAGAGAGATTTTTTGCTATAGGGCACATGTGCTCATTAGAGAACCAGAGAGACCGAAAGCAAGAAATCACCCACCCACCCCCCAGAGCGGATGGTCATGTTGCAATCCCTTCTCCTCCATTCTCCTCTTGAGATTTTGGACACGCATGTACATGTGCCCAGTGTGAGTTTTAAGCTGCTGGGCCTGGGACTCGAACTGCAGTTGACTACCGGCGGAGTCCCCCGACATAGCCATTATGCCATCTGCTGGGCTGCCTAGTGCCTTTTTTCCTCAGACTGATACTGATATAATGTGACAATAAAACATTAAAGACTCTTTTGATAAAGCAGAGAAATAGGCTAGAAATGGGGGAAACATTATAACCTATGAAGCTGTTCCTACTATTAACTTCACTTTGTTTTAATTGCTTTTTTCTTTCCAAGTATTTCTTTCTCTCAAAACTAAATCTTTTTTCTGTCCTGCATTGATTGTTCTAGGTGACCAGTGCCAGTCTGCCCTTTAAATATCAGGTTTTTATTTCTTGGTACTACGGTAATGAGTAATTATAAAGGCCATTTAATTGAATACACAATTTTAAGTTTAGTATTCCTGAGTTGTCTGACACAACTGTCTATGTTTGGAGCAGGCCTACAATTCCAAAACCAGCTGTCCCCAACATTAGGTTTAACCTCTATGCATCTCATTTACCCCCAAAGAAGATGATATGTCATTATCATTGTGATTAAAAATACTCAAAGTGAGTGCACAAACTAGGAATATGTTTGCACCATATCACATGAAATTGCTAACGTTTTACCGTTTTTATGCCTCAAAAATTAAGACTATCAAGAACTTAGCAGGAACACCAAAGTACTACATTTAGATTTTTAAATGCTATGAAACAAATACAGTATAGGAGAATTGTTTGCATAATTGTAGTTTGTATGAAAAAAGGATCTTGGTGATTAATCACCTATTTAATAAACTCGTTATGTTATGCATTGCTCGAAAACTATTTAACCTGACAGGCTGTAGGAGGGGAAACGGCATTCTGATCACTGCAAGTAATTATTCTCGATGTGTTATGCTTGCCAGGTTGTGTTCTGTTCTAGGGATATGTTTAAGGGGGGCTGTTATCAAATAGAGTACATTCAGAGAAGACTGAGCAAACTACTAAAGCATCTGAAAACCATGTCCCCAGTTTTGAGAGGAAATTGGAGGAATAGGGGAATTTTTTTAACCCTGGAGATGAGACTAGGAGGGAAAAAAATTACTGTCTTAATATAAATAGTCATGGTGGTAGAAAGGTGGAAATAAGTTTGCTGAGAGGACAGAATTTGAACCACTTGGTAATAAGCAAAGCAAATTTTGTGTCAGTTTAAGAAAATGTGTTCAGGCAACTGGAGCAATTGGGAATGTAATGGCAAGTTTGGAAAAGCTGTGACTTCCTGGGTGCTGGCTCATCTCTCGGGAATATTCCCAAGCAGAGGTCGTTGTTGTTTTTTTGTTTCATTTTGTTTTGAAACTTTTCTTGCCCTGAAACCTCTGGTGGGTATTTCTCCCTATCTCATGCTCTCATTCTCCCATGTCATACACACCCTTCTGAAGTGATTCTGATATACCCGCCTGGAGTAGAGGGGAGTAAATGATCCCTGAGAGATCACAGACCATTCTCAGGATGGTTTGACATGAGATTTTCTGCCTTTACGGTGTGTATGTGGTGGTGGTGGTGGTGGGGGGGATACCTAACCAGTAGAAACCATACTTCGAATTTCGAGTTTTGTTTTTTTCCCAGTAGATACCCTCTCAGCCACAATTCTCAGTGAGCTATGCAGTCATGAGGATGAACAGCCAATGCCGTAGACTACAGTGTACTACATTCACTAAATTACAAGCGATCATCAACACTTTATTAGGAAACAGGTTTCCTGTCAGATGATTCTGCCCAAATGGAGTCTACCGTACGTTTTCTGAGCACACTTAACGTTAGGTGAAGCTATAACATTCGGTCGGTTAAGTGTCTTTAATGCGTTTTCAGCTTAGGCGATTTCGACACAGGCCAGGTCTACTGGGAGGACCCCAGCACAGGCCAGGAAGCATGAATTACCTATTTTCTGCATCTTACTTTTGAGTCACCTCTGTAACGAGCGCCCTTGTTTCCGTAGCCACACTACCTGAATTTAAGAAAAGGCCAAAATTAGAGGTAAACTTTAGCCAGGTTCAACAGCTCCCCGTGTAGAACTTCAGTAGGAATTATGCTTCTACTAAACAGATCACATTCGAGCAATTTCCTGGTCAAGATACGAATATGAAAAGTTCTATTGCATGTACATGAGGTGAGCCAATGCCAGGAGTATATGCTTCATCTTTCTTCATGTATGTTTCCATTTTTGAACACTTTAGGCTGGGAATCTCTCTTCAGGCTTGCCTTCTGCAAATCGTTGGGTACAGAAACCTAATTGCAGATGTGGAAAAACTGCGCAGAGAGCCTTATGATTCTGATAATCCCCAACATGAAGAAATGCTTCTGAAGGTTAGTCCTGCAACATACTTTAGTCCCTCACTGAAGCCAGCTGAGGTTTACCAAGCACTGGCTGTGTGCTGGGCACACCTCTGGACGCTGGCATAAAAAGATGACTATGGCATGGGCACTGAAACTGAGGAGAGGTACGAGTCTTCTTGCTGGTTCAGATGTTGGAGGTAAATTTTCCATCAGAAAATCCATGTGAAAAATTAAGAAAGAAAAATTTACGGCCGATTTTCTCTTGTCATCTATGAAAGCTTCAGAGATGATTTCCGTGGGCTCTCACATTTGGCTCAAGTTTTGATTGTTTAACTTGTGTTGAAAGCCAGTAGGAGAAAGAGCAGCCTGAGACTTTCATTTATGACTTTACTGCACATCAATGAAGATGAAGTTGACTTCTGCCTCAGTAATAGCTCTCTTGGGAAATTACCCAAGATCTTAATGCTGATTATCTATTCATGTAACTGCAGAGTAATAGGGGAGGAGGTAAAGGTTTATATTTGGTGTATTAGAACATATGAAATTACTAGTATTCCTGGCTCTCAAAGCAAAAGTCTTAAAAATCTTATAGAATTTGATGATATAAAACATCAATAAAACTTTCCCTCAAAACAGGGAATTTTAAAAATGTATTTGTTTATTTATTTAAATTTGACCGGGGGGAGGGGGGGGGAGCAAACTGCTGGGACTCGAACCTGGGTCAGCCATGTGAAAGTCCAGCATCCTTAGCCACCATGCCACCTGCCAGCCCCCAACACAAGGAATTTTGAGTAAAAGAAATTAAAACAAACAAACAAAAAAGTAAGAACAACCTATTAAACTACTTATTTGAAATGTTTCATAAATTCATTTCTGAAAATAGATGCTTTTTAGGATTAGTGTTTCCCTGGTCTTTCCTAGAATTCAAAGACAGTAACAAAATTGGAAGAAAATATTTGTTTAGCTGCCTTAACTTTATTTCACTGAAAAATGTCAATAGAAGATCCAATTTTTAAAATGTACCCTGTTATGTTTTTGTGTGAAGGAGTGTATGTTTTTGTGTATGTGAGTATTTAAACGGATGACTCATTTGTCTCTGCTAATTAGTGTTAGATCTGATGTGACTCATTAAAAATTAAAGAAGCCTCATTCTTGGCAATCGTTTTTCTGCTTCCCTTTCTTCCTGCTTTAATTTTAGCTAACCTGCTAGCTGAGTTTGAAACAGTCGTGGTGGTAGAAAGGTGGAAATAAGTTTGCTGAGAGGACAGAATTTGAACCACTTGGTAATAAGCAAAGCAAATTTTGTGTCAGCTTAAGAAAAAATGTTCAGGCAACTGGAGCAATTGGGAATGTAATGACAAGTTTGGAACAGCTGCGACTTTTCATACCCACCAAGATTAATATAACATTTTTTTTTTTTGGAGAGATTTTCACTGTAGGGCGTGTGCGCTCGCCAGACAGACAGAGAGAGACATAGAGACAGAAAGCGAGAAATCACCCCCCAGGGGGGATGGTCACGCCGCAATCCCTTCTCCTCCATTCTCCTCTCGGGATCCTGGGCACGCACGCACACGCGCCCGGCGTGAGATTTAAGCCACCGGGTCCGGGACACGAACCGCGGTCGACTATGTGGGAGTCCAGCGACATAGCCATTACGCTAACTGCTGGTTCCCAAGCTGCGACTTTTGATATATTTTTTCCCCTGATAATTTTCTGGGAAGTAGTCGAGTTCAACAAAGTAACCTAAAGGTAGGATAAAAGAGGTGAATGAATGGAAGTTATAATTAACAGACCGACTACACAGAGATAACAATCCATCAGAATGCCTGAGATGCCCTTAGAATCAGTTCATGATATTTGGGGTCCTGTCTTGCACTATTTTTAGCTGATCTGTTTTAAGTGTACTGGCACACAGTGGGTTTTCAACAAGTTCATTAGTTCTGTGTCAAGAGCTTTGATATGACTTCCATCTGTGGTAGGATCTGAGTATGTGCTGATGTCACAGCTGTGTGAGGTAGGCAAGGTAATGAGTATTAGCTTTATTTTAGAGGCGAGCAAGTTACAAGCATTTTAGTTCAGGCTCTCATTCACACATCTAGTAAATTAAAAAGCTGGGGCTTAAGATCCCGAGAGGAGAATGGAGGAGAAGGGATTGCGGCATGACCATCCCTCCTGAGGGGTGATTTCTCGCTTTCTGTCTCTATGTCTCTCTCTGTCTGGCGAGCGCACGTGCCCTATAGCGAAAACCTCTCCATAAAAAAAGCTGGGGCTGTCTACTACTCTGTTAGGCTCTTTGAGAAAAGGCATCTTTTTCTCCCTTGAGTGGCTTGCACTCTAATCAGAACATAGTCTGTATCTGTAAAAATCACTACATTTTATCCATAGAGCACCCCAGAGTATTTCTCAAATGTTGTCCATGCTCACTGTCGTATTCTAGCCACCATCTCCAACTTGGTTTTTACAAGGATTACATTAAGGGATTTAATTTACCCATGTCTTATTTATGCTTTCAGGAGTGATAGATTTACTTTCTTTCCTCTAAAGCTTTTCTTTCACCTTTAGATAAATTAGGTTTACCTGCTATAGCACTTACATAAAATATTGGAGAATGTGGATAATAATTTTAGATTTGTGTTTAAAATCACGATCATAAAATGAATTACAACTTTTTACTTATTAGTATTTTCAGTCACTGAATAGGGTTTAATATTGTGTCAGATACATGACAATTTGCTATAAAGTGAAGTAGTGACATATTGTTCTGCTTAAACTTTAAAATTCATAAAATACAGAACAAGCAATTTAGAAATTAAGTTATTTCTGAAATGGCAGTACAGACATTTTACATTTGTGTTTATACTCTGTCTATAATGAAGATATAATATTAAATATGAAATAGTCTAAAAAGTAGATTTACCTACATGTCTTTTTCTATTAGAAAAAATAGTTGAAGCTTTACATGTTTATATATCTGGTCCTTAATTTCTCTCTCAAGTAATGATATGTGCTGAATCCACCTTTCTACAGAAAAATTTGAAAAACTGAACCAGGTGATTAGGCAGATAAGTTTATAATGTTTAGAATTTACAATCTTCCATTAATACACAACTGACTTAAACTGAAATTCCTAGATAACGCTTAAAGATGAACATATTGAGGTTTATTCATGAACATCACTGACATTCCTTTATTCAGTCACATATAGTATTTATTTTCACACTTGTTTTTAGGTGAGACCTAAGAAATGAAACTGGTCAGTTTGCTTTTTCTTTTGTCAACAATGTTGCTTAAAGTTTTAATATAATGTTAGCAAAGCATTTTCTGAGCATTTAAATAGTGGGTGGCCTCAAAAATTTGTCCTGTTCTCTTCTTTCTTTTGTACTCTAAAATATTTTTGAGTGCTCCAAAGAAATTTCTATGGGAAAGTATCTATTTAGCCAGCTATTTAACTTCTGGTTAGAATTAAAACAGATTTCTAATACTAAAATACATGTACATGTTTCATTGCCTTCGGAGCAATGACATTATGACACGCCATACAGCCTCTGGAAAATTCGACTATACAGGCGTGAGATGAAGACAGTGAAAAGACAAATCATCTATTACTTTCATTATAAAATAATGGGTTTTTTTGAAGTCCAAGGCCTCTGAAAAGGTCATACTTTAATAACTGCTGTCATAGGTAATTGAAAGACAATCGTATCTTTAACTGCAGTGTATTTCATATATCAAACTTTGCACAGTTCCTCTTTATAATGTAGTTTACAAAACCTAAACCAATAGCGAAGGGTATTTGGGTGTGTATATCAACAAGGTAACACTCTCGTTTGTCTCTAGTTATGGAAGTTCCTGAAGCCCAATACGCCACTGGAATCTCGGATTTCTAAGCAGTGGTGTGAAATTGGTTTCCAAGGTGATGATCCTAAAACAGATTTTCGAGGAATGGGACTTCTGGGACTATACAATTTGCAGTAAGTGAAATTAAAAATAGTTGAATATTAGAGTGTTCTAGTCCTCATACTGAAATGGCAAAATTGAGTTATTTATCCCAAAAGCTACTTCCCAGAAGCCTCCAAGAAAATATGCAAGTTCTCTTGAGAGGTAACTCAGGTTATAAAATGTATAAAGCTACCACTACCTTCCTTCTGTTTCAGCAGACTTCCTAGATTTTTTAAATCAAATTTTAATTGTTTTTAAATTTTATATGAAAAACTTTAAGTGTACTCAAAAACAGAAGAGATTATAAAGAACCCTCTTATTTATTTTCTTAGAATAAAAATAAAATTTATTGTAAAAAATTAAAGCATTCATATTTCATTATTCACTAAGGCTAAAGACTAATTTTTTAAGTCCTTCACAAGAATTTCACTTTAACTTCCTCTCCAACTATGAAAATGACCTGACCTAATGTTATCAAAACAAACACCATAAATAACACCAAGTCTTTTATAGACTCTCAAAATAACTCTTGCAAAAGTTATTTCTTGGTACAGGTGATTTTCATGGCATGTGACCCTTGCAAAGCATCCCTGGCAGCTCCAGCCTGCCCATTGTTGTCAAATTCAACAAAAGCAATGTCATGCTTCCCAGGTACCAAATGTACTTCCTTGAAGCCAGGGAACTGATTAAACAGCATGGATAACATCATCTCATTATTCTCTTCCAGTAAATTATTAAGGAACAAAATGCTGTCTGGAGGGTAATCAGGAGCCTGAGGATTTGGTGTTGAATTCCCTTGGGTATTAACTGAATTTGGTGTTCCCTGGCCAGGTTTTTTGTTTGTGGTTGTTGGGGTCTGTTCCACAGTTCAGCAAAAGTGCCACAAACAGGGTCCGTTTCTCCACACTGGGTTTTCACTGGTTTTCCATAAAAAGGAAATCCCTGTAACTGTCTCAAAGTGTTCGTGGATGAGCCCAGTTCCTTAAATGTAACAAAGGCCTGCCCCCTCATCTTCCCGGTCTTTAAAGCCACCATATCTACTACATAGCCAAACTGGAAAAAAAAAAAATGGCATACAGGGATCTCTTCAATTCTTTTTTAATTTTGTCATTTATATTATTGATATAAATTGTATGATTTGGTTGGATATCAATGTTTGGGTTAGATACTTCAAATTGATTACCCTCATATATAGTCATGGCTAAGGTTTTTGAAATATTGCAACTCTTTTATTTTTGCAGAAGTATGATAATGAAAATCCTACATTGTCATTTCGCCCCTCATATTTCAGTATGTAGATCAATCTACTGAGTCATCAATATTACTTTACATTAACCATGATGCCATTATCACACCAAACAAAATTAATGATTCCTTGGGGTCATCTATGGCCAGTTCATATTGAAATTTCCCAATTCTTATAAATAAATAAATTTAAAGAAAAAAAGAGAAATGTCCCAATTCTCTCAAGAATGTCTCTTTATAGCTGGTTTGTTCAAATACAGATGTAAGATCTATGCACTGCACTTCATTAATATATCTCTTGGATCTTTTCATTAGAGCAGTCTCAATCCCTCTGTCACCTCTTTTTTATCCCCTTCTCATGTCACTAACTTCTAGAAGATTTCAAGGCAGTAGTCCTTGAAATGTCCCAACATCTAAGATTTGTCTGTCCATACTTGGACCAGTCCTCCGTATTTACTGCAAACTGGAGGTGTGCCAAAGGCTTGAAGAGATTCGGACTGACACCACAGTGGGAGGTCTATGGGGTCCCCCCTACTCTCTACGCTATGCTAAGATGGGTCAGAGGGACCACAGCCTGATTGCTTCCATGTGAAGTCCCCCTTCAGCCTTTCTTCCTTCATGACCTTCACTGAACCAATTAATTAATTATGCAAAAAGTGCTTTTCTAGATTTTTTCCCCCGTAAACTTTTGGTTGGAATTCTGCTGAGACTGTTTCCTCTATCAATTAAGGCTATTTGTCTTCTCCAAAATACAGGCAGGACAGGTGCTCAGATTTTTCATTCTGGTTGCCAGTTCTCAGGGTAACGAGCTGATGCCCTAGTTTTCTTGTCAATGATCCAAACAAAACTGTATATATATATATATATTTTAGAGATTTTTGCTATAGGGCGTATGCACTTGCCAGAGAGACAGAAAGACAGAAAGTAAGAAATCATCCCCTGGGCGGATGGACATACTGCACTCCCTTCTCCTCCTCTCTCCTCTTGGGATTTGGGGCACACATGCACATACCCGGTATGAGTTTCAAGCCACGAGGTAGGAAACTCAAACCTCATACAGCCACATGGAGTCCAGGGCCTTAACCACTATGCCACCTGCTGGCCTCTTGTTACATCTTTGTATTTTTAAAATATCATTTGTTAACTCTTAGTTTTTTATTAATGTTTACTGCAATTCAACTAGTGGGTTTTTTTTTTTTTATGCTTAAATACATTCACTTGTAGTCATTATTTTTTAAGACAAAGGGACTTCTTTCAACTTGGCTCTTGAGTCCCTTGACACTACCCTATTAGTGAGGGTAGTGATGATGATGCATTTTTTAAAAAAGTTAAACCTTACTCATTTTAGGTGGCACTCCATTTTCCCCTCTAGATCTTTCCCTTTTATTTTACATTTAGGAAATTGAACTATCACCTAGTTTTTCTGAAATGTTTCAAAGCCTCCAGGTCTGGGATTTGAACCACCACTGGCCATGTGGGGATCCAGCACCTTAATCACACCACCTGCTAGCCCCAGAAAGTAAATCGTTTTTTAAGTTTGTTTATTTATTGAGAGAGACTCCTGATAGAGCCCACCATGTCAGTATCTGCCCTCGATTTATCCTTCTAGCTGGCCAGGATCACAGGCACGTTTGCAAGTAAACCTGGCAGGTGTATTAAAGTTGAACCAGAATGCAAACCCAGTGCCTTCAAATATGGCTTTAGTAGAAAGTACTGGAGTAATAGACCTAGAAAGTAAATCTTGATGATAAAGGCAGTAATTAAAAATAAGTGGATAAAGGCTGAATTTTTAAATAACTAGAACTAGGAAAATTGACCTTAGTGTTTAATGAGTATCATTTGGGGTAATGAAAATGATTTAAAGGTGAATAGTGATGATGGCTGCCAACAGTGTGAACCTGTTTACTGCCACTGAACAGTACATTTAAAAATGGTTAAGATGGTAAATTGTGTTATGTGTGTTTTAGCACAGAAAAGAAAGGAAGAGCCTGGCAGGTAACATGGTAGTGAAGGCACCGGACTCCCACATAGCTGACCATGGTCCAGTCCAGGTCCTGGCAGCTTGCTTTCTCACTTTCCCTTTCTTCTTCACTTTCCCTCCCTTCTTCCCTCTCTGATCAAATTAAAATAAATCAATAAAGTTAAATAATCCTTTTTTTTTTTAAAGGTCAAAATCAAGTCTTTCCAACTATTAAGAGAAAAGTCTTTGAGCTACCTGAGTAAAGAAGGCTCTCTTAAAGACACAAATATACACATAAACTTTAAAAGAAAAATCAATACATTTCACAAATTTAGATAGAAAATATCTGTAACGTCACCATAAATGAAGTGAAATGACAAGTGAAAACTGACTCTCACACAACTAATAAAGGATTTATATCCAGTATATTATTCTTTATAGTGTTATTTGTCTTATTTGAGGACATTTTTAGATATACCAGACCGAAAAATAGGACACGACAGAAAAGTGGGAACTCGGCTGACCAGCAGAAGTCTGAAAAGAGATTCAGTCTCATTGACAATCATGGACATATGCATTAAAATTGCTGACTTTGTTTTGAAATTTTCTAAGACTTTTGAGAGTTTGTTTTATCCTTTAGATTTATGCAAGAAATTATAGACTTGCCAAATTAAATAATGTGACTATAGCTTTATAATTGTCTTTATGAAGCACTTTCTATGAAGCATTTTTGATAGCATGTAAGCTTTTTGCATTTATTAGGAAACGTTTTTGCCCTTTCCCATCAGAACAGAATGTTATTATTTTTTCTTTCTTTTTTTTTAATTGCCAGAGGGCATGTGTGCTCACCAGAGGGAGAAAGAAGGAGACGGAGAGCACCCTAATGGAGTACGGTCATGCCATAGCCCCTTCTCCTCCATTTCTCCATTCTGTTGGGATTTGGGGTATGCATGCACATACACCCAGGATGTTTTTTCAAGCCCTAGAGGCTGGAATTCAAACCGCAGTCAGCAGCTGTGTGAGATCTGACTCCCCTTAGCCTTTCTATAACTGACCTAGAATTTTATTTTTAACATCTCTAAGCTCCACAAAATATTTTGCCTCCTTCTAGAATTCAAATACCCAGTGAATATTCTCTAAGAAAAATGTATTTGAAAGACATCCTTTCTCACCTCTCAAGTCTCTTCTTTGTTCTTCAGCTGTATACCTCTCACCATGTCCCTTTGCCCAGGCTTCTGCCTTCAGAGGGTCTTCAAATGCTGAGCTTCCCACCCTCTTATCTGTAATCCTTCTTCCTATTGGGTCTGTCTTATGCCAGTATCCATCTTTGAATACAAAATGGACTCAAACGGGATTACTCTATATTCAGCAGTTATGGAATTACGATCTTTTTCCCCCCAACTGCAGGTACTTTGCAGAAAGGGATGCTACAGCAGCTCAGCAGGTCCTCTCTGATTCTCTTCATCCAAAATGCAGGTAATTGTTGAAAATAAAAGAGAGATTTGAGTTTATGGTTTAGGTCATTTTAACTTCATCTACATAGATGTGTTGGTGAGAATTTCAGGAGAGTCAGCCCATCCAAATGGTTCAGTAAGCCCTTTTGGCAAATGCTGAATAGGAGGGTTAAAACTCTGGGTAATTGTTCTAGGATTCAGAATGTAAGGTAGCACTCACTACTCACGTGAGACACGTGTTTAAAGGCATGATGAGGTCATTAGTTTCCACAAAGAGTTAGAAGTAGGTTCCCTTATCAGAGGCAAGGGGGCATGATGAGGATTTAGAGGGAAAATAGAAGTCATGAAGTTAGGGGCCAACTGAAAACATCTGGAATTGCTGAGGCTTTTTTCTTTTTTTAATAAGATGATAGATTTGAGATTATTTGCCTTTTCACTTACCTTTCTAAATGTTTTTCTTTAACTGATTACCTGAAGGGATATCACTAAAGAGGAAATAAGGTATTCGTTTTTTTTACTTTGCTTTGCTTTTGTTTTAGAATACATACGAGTGAAAATTTAATAACATATATAAATTCCTAACAAACATACAAAAAGCAGACATTCTTTAGGTTTTTATGTAATATAGTTCATTATATTTGGGCTGTGTTTTAATGAATTGGAAACTAGATTAAACTAACCTGATAGAAAATGTCCAAGAGCCTTTCTACAGGCATGACTACTTGGTTAGAGAAACACTGTGAACATACACCTAAAGGCTGAAAACCTCACTACTCACGCTGTCACTCCATCTAGTTCCCAGAGAGGAACATTCTATTTTGGAGTTTTGTGCATAAAGCATATTTGATTTTCTATTAATGTAAAAGAGGACTTCAAAAAGTTTGTGGAAAAATAGAATTAAAATATGAGTTTATCTTGGTGCAAACGAATTTTTGAACCCAAGTGTAGTTTTTCATTAACACTCAATTTCCATGAACTTTCTGAAGACCCTTCATATTTCTGACTAAACTATTAAAAACAGTGTGTGTATGTTTCTTATAAAGAGATATACTATTTTGCAATCATGGCTTTTTATGATTTTCCCTGCTCTGCATAGCAGGTTAGCTGTTAGTGTTGATATTTGCTAAATAAATTTAAAAATTTAAGGCCTGCAGGTTGTGTGGTAGTTAGGACACTAGACTCCCACATGGCTAACCACAGTTTGAGTCCCAGACCTGGTGACTTGAAACTCATGCTGGGCACATGTACATACAGGCCCAAAATCCCCAGAGGGGATTGGAGGAAAAGGAATTGCAGCTTGAGGATGATTTCTCACTTTCTCTCTGTATTTTTCTTTCTCTGATGAGCACATGCACCCTACAGCAAAAAGCTCTCTTAAAAAAAAAAAAAAAGAAAGAAAGATTCATCAATCAATCAAATATTTTATGCTATTCCAAAAATTCAAGAATACTCTCAGTTCCTTATTTTCTCTTTAATATTATAGTCATACCAGCTTCATTTGGTTAAGGTTTATTAAAAGACAGTATAGTTTGCAAATTTATAATCTTTTACAGGATTAAAAATCCATTTACTTAAAGAAAACCACTAAAATCATTTGGCTCTTTCTTAAAATATTTCATGCTTAAAATCAAGCTATTTTTCATTTTAATTTTCATGTACTGAATTACATACTTCTGTAATGTGGAAACTCTGAACTCCCTCTAATTAAAACTGGATGGAGGAGTGCTTTCAGGTGGCATTTCCTGGAGGAACATCATCTGGAGAAATGAATTCTTCGTAGGTCCTTGGAAAGTAACGATAAGCTTAAAAGTATTTTTTTAAGAGGGTTTTGTGGTTGGAGAGAAACAGACAGTGAGAGGGAACTTGAAAAGTCACCCCCAAAAGAAGATGGCCATATCATAATCTCTTGTCCTTCATTCTTCTCTTGGGATTTTGGGCATACATGCATATGTGCCCAGCATGATTTTTATGCCACCAGGTCCAGGACTCGAACCGCAGTTGCCCACATGGCAGTCCAGCCATGTAACTGCTATGTCATCCGCTGGCCCCCTAAAAGCATTTCTGATAACCTATTGGAGGAGACTAATTTTGTCTGTACTGATTTTGTCTATTAGCTATTCTCAAAGAAAAGCTTTATAGTTTTATCTCCTATTCACTATCAGAAAGGAGGTATTTGAGGGTTTGTGTGACTACTCTTATTTAAAATGAGACTAGTGTTTGTGTGTGTGTGGGGGGGGCACATAGATAAATCAACATGCTTTATCCTTCAAGCTACAATACAATTGAATAGAAGAGGTTTATGTATTAATTACTTCAAATCAATGTCAACTGGATAGAAATTAGAATGTGTTGAAAATACTATGCTTCACCAATGTCTGAAAGAAGTACATTTTGACCTATTATGATATCAACGTAGGTTCTGTTAGGCCATGAATATTTCAGGTGTTCAACAGAGAGAAGTCAATATGTAGTATTCTTCAACAAGCATGACACACTACAGCTCTTGTAAACATCCATCTATCAAGTCCTGAAGTCATTTGAAGGATAAGTAGTCGGTTGTAAGGTTTTGTGTTTGTCCGCAAAGAGAGAGATCCTAGGACCAGCAGTTGGCGTAAAGGCTATGTCTCTGGACTCCCATGTAGCCAACTGTGGTTTGAGTCCTGGACCCAGTGGCATAAACTCACGCCGGATGCATGTGCGTGCATGCCCAAGATCCCGAGAAGAGAATGGAGGAGAAGGGATTGCAGTGTGGCCATCCCCCCTGGAGGGTGATTTCTCGCTTTCTGTCTCTCTCTTCCTGGCGAGCACATGTGCCCTATATCAAAAACCTCTAAGGGACCAGCAGTTAGCATAATGGCTATGTCGCTGGACTCCCATGTAGTCGACCGCGGTTCAAGTCCCGGACCCAGTGGCTTAAACTCATGCCGGGTGATGTGCGTCCGTGCCCAAGATCCTGAGAGGAGAATGAAGGAGAAGGGATTGCAGCGTGGCCATCCCTTCTGGGGGGTGATTTCTCGCTTTCCATCTCTCTGTATCTGTCTTTCTGGCGAGCGCACGCACCCAATAAGAAAAAAACCTCTCCAAAAAAAAAAGAAAAGAAAAAAACCTCTAAGGAAAAAAAAGAGAGAGAGATCCAATGTGTTTGGATCAGGATAGCTAAATAATCAAAGGAGTGAAGGTATTTGGGCTTTTCTTCCATTTCCAATACAGACTGAGATTTAATTTAAGAACTATAGGGACCCAATGTATTCATAAAGCTTTGCTGAAGAAAATAGAAGTTTATAAATACTTACATATAAAATTTCTTAAATTTCACACATAATTCTTTTCAGTTTAGATATGAGCCTTTTAAGATAAAAACCTGATGCCTCTTTGGCTGGCCAGTTTGTTTGTTGGTTAGAATTTACATTTTAAAAACAGGTGGCACATCTTAACATGAATTAAAAGCAGTTACTCTCAATTATAGTTATCCATTTACAGAGTAGAAAGTATACTGATATTTAAAAATCAGTTTTGCACACTGTTTTTGTAGTTGTATTTGTGTGTGTGTGTGTGTGTGTGCGTGTGACTTGTAGTGTTTGCTGTGTATTTTAGAGAACTCTTCTTTCTCCTACTTAGATGAAAGCTGTGTTCATAATTCCTTTCCTTTAAAATTTAATTTAGTTCAAATGTTAACTTTAGTGTTGAGTGTGAAACACTAATAAAGGTTACATCGGTCACCAGGAAGAGTAGAATATGGTTCTGACCTACAAGATGTTAGTAGTATCCAAGGGAATGGGATGGGTACAGATAGGTGAGTATACAAAGCAATAGAATATAAGGCAGTATTTTTTCAGAATGTTTTTATGATAGAACTCTTTCTTTAAACAATCTTATTCAGTAGGTCAAAACATAAATCAGAATAAAATGGAGTTGCTATGGCTTAACTTCCTTAGCTTAACCAGGGGAAATACTACAGCACTTGTTGGAACAAAATTTGAAGATCTACATGGCGTTCCTTCCTTCTTTCCCTCTACCCTCCCCCCCTTATTTTTGCTACATTTCTTCACTTTCTCTCTTCTGTTTTCTTCTTCTTTTTTCTCCTTCCTGCCTCCTTTCTTCCATCCTCTCCTTCCTTTTACTGACTCAATCCTCTGTTTATCAATAAACACTTACTTGCATCTGCTGTGTATCAAGTTTCGCAAATAAGGTTGAGTAGGATAAATACCATAAAACCAGCAACATCTAGTTAGAGAGATGCCAGGCAAGTTTACTTAAAGAAGGTGTTGCTTAATAATTAATGGTAACATAAAAGAATTATCTTAATGTTTAGCCTTAAGGGCTGTCCCCCACCGCCATATGAAAGTGAATAAGGGGCATGGCTTTATGTAATTCCACTTTTAAGCTCCATATATATTGTATTGTGGTTTTTAAACTTGATAACATTGAAATGGATTAGTGTTGGGTAACTGAGTTCGAGACATCTCTCATATCAGCGAGCAGTTTGGACATAAGCATTAGAAGAGAACAAGGACCAACTGGAGATGAAATGTTATTTACTTATTTATTCATTTGTTCATTCAGCAAATTCAGCAAAGCAGAATGGGAGAAGAAAAGGATGGATAAAGCAATTGGGTGAGTGTGGGGTCTCATATATAAAGACTGTCAGTCTGAACCAGAGCCAGAACAAAAATGTCCTGAGAGCACCATGAAAGGTAACACAGACGAAATCCCATGTGCCCTGTAGGAAGTGTATAGTTTAGCTGAATTTTGTTTTTAGAGTTTTTTCCTATAGAACACATGCGTTCATCAGAGATAGAAAGAGTGACACAGTGAGAACATCCTTCCCGGCCCTGGGGGACGGCCGTGCCGCAATCCCTTTTCTTCCATTCTCCTCCTGGGATTTTGGGCATACACACACACACACACATGAGCACATGTGTGTGCACGCTTGGCATGATTTTCAAGGTACTGGGTCCAAGACTCAAGCTGTGGTTGGCCATGTGGGAGTCCAGCAATGCAGCCACTATGCTATCTGCTGCCCCAATTTAACTGAATTTTTAAAGAACACCGTATAGAGGCCAGCAGGTGGTGTGGTGGTCGAGGTGCTGGATTATCACATGGCCAACTGTGGTTCAAGTCCCAGACCCAGCATTTTAAGGATTATGTCAAGTGTGTGTGCATACGTGCTAAAAATCCCAGGAAGAGAAGGGATTGCTGCATGGCCACCCCCCCCCACCCCCAGGGGATGATTTCTCACTTTCCCTCTCACTGCCTCTGTCTGTCTCTCTCTGGTGAGTGCATGTGCCCTATGACAAAAACCTTTAAAAACAAGGAACTTATTATATGTTTTTGGATTTATTTGTATGATTACATATTATTTTGCCTATAACAAACATATAATGAAAACATGGAAATGATTTTCAGAAATCATTTAGAATTATAATTTATAGCTTTCTTGTAAGAATTTTTCCGTTCTTTTGTTTCTTTTCATTACCAGATGATGCATGCTCTCACAAGAAAAAAAGAAAGTACTTCCTAATGGAGTGTGGTCATACCACAATCCCTTTTCCTCCATTTCTCCATCGTAGGAGGAATTTGAGCATCCATGCACACAGACTCAGCATTTTCTTTTTTTTTTTTCAAGAGAGAGATTTTTGCTATAGAGCATGTGTGCTCGCCGGAGGGACAGAGACAGAGAAATAGAAAGGGAGAAATCACCCCCCCGGGGGAATGGCCACACCACAATCCCTTCTCCTCCATTTTCCTCTCAGGATTTTGGGCATGTGCACACACACATGCCCAGTGTGAGTTTTAAGCTGCCGGGTCCAGGGCTCAGACCATGGTCGACTACATCTGAGTCCAGCAATGTAACCATTACGCCATCTGCTGGTCCCATCCAGCACAGTTTTCAAGCCACTGAGGCTGGGATTCCAACCATGATCAGCCACGTAGTATTGGCTCTCCATGCATGGTGCTTAACCTCTATGTTACTGAGTGAGCCTTCTTTTAAGAATTTCTATCACATATTGAGATATTAAATCAAAATTTTCTTTAGAAGATTTTTGTGTTTTTTTTTTAAATATAACACTCATTTCATTTAAAAATGTTTCTGAACAGAAAACTCCATTTTCTTTTTTCCTTTGCTGAATTTACATAAGCAGAGAACATAAGAACTTGGTTCACTTTAATTTTTTTAGAGAATTACTTTATTTAACTTTATTTATTTTGTATTTATTTATTCTAATTTGACCAGAAAGAGATAGAGCAAGAGAGAGAGCAAGAGAGAAAGAGAAGGAAAGTGAGAAAGCAAGTCTCCAGTTCCAGGACTCAAACCATGTTTGGCCATGTGGGAATCCAGTGCCCTTAACCACCATGCCACCTGCTGGCCCTGGTTCACTTTAATTTTTAACAGATACGAAGAAAAGGGACTAGAAAATAGATGCTATGTTAACCTGCTTACTTCAACTTTTTCTCATTTTCCAAGTATAGGATTAATACATATTTATTATATATATTATATAATTTATTCTATATATATACAATGACTATATAAATACATGATTTATTATAGAAAATTTAGACAATATAAGAAAGTGAGCCCCCCAAAATCACCCCAACCTTATTACTTCAACATAGCCATGTTAATATTAGGTCATCAGGAAAGTCAAGTTATAGTTTTCTGTGTTTTTCTATGGAGAAATGTGTCATAACTTGCCTGACAACCCAATATCTTGTGGCATTTCATTCTAGCCTTTTTTCCATGCACATATGTGTGTATATAATGAAATGTCTTATATTCTTCTTAGTCTTTGAAAATATTGTTTGTTGTTTTTGAGAGACATTTTTTGCTATAGGGCACATGTGTTCACCGGAGAGAGAGAGAGAGAGAGAGACAGAAAATGAGAAGCCGCCAGGGAAGTGACCACACTGCAACCCTTTCTCCTCCATTCTTCTCTCAGGATTTTGGGCACACATAAACACATGCTTGACATTAGTTTCAAGCCACTGGGTCCAGGACTTGAACTATGGTTGCCCATGTGGGAGTCGAACAACGTAACCATTATGCCCTGTAATAGTCATGTTTTTCAGCAGGTATGAATAATTTCCATGTCTTTGCCATTATAAGTAATGTTGTACTAAGTATGCTGGTATATTAAACTTTGTCTACTTTGGACTATTTTTCTATTAGATATTTGGAAATGGAATCACCAAGTAAAAGCATATGAACTCCCGATTCTCCTGTACACATAACTGAAAATTGCTGTCAATGACAAAAGTCAAGGTGTTGATAGAGTAGAGAGGAAAGGACACGCTGCCCCTCTGCTAATAAAAAATTATTTAAAGATCGAGATTATCATTTTTTGTAATGTTTATTTTCAATATGTGTCACGCAGTTTTGTGGTTTCCCCTTTATAGGTACTCATTTGCGATTGTGGGCATCAATATAACTGACCTGGCGTACAATCTACTGGTCAGTGGAGCTCTAAAGACCCACTTCTACAACATCGCTCCGGAAGCTCCAACACTGTCTCACTTCCAGCAGACATTCTGTAAGTGTCCTGTTGTCCAACTGTCAATACAGGCTTCTACAGAACATTCCAGGCATGGGTCGAAGCTGAGAGGCCTCTGTGATTTGGCTGCTATGGGGGCCTTTGAACTTTTTTTGATTTTTATTTCTTTTCTCTCATTCAAAACCTACATTTATATTTTCAGGCATCATGGATTATGTTCTTCCTCAGTTCTTGCATAATATCCACTGTATGTACTTCTGCTTTGACTTAAAGACACAGGCATCTCCCTCTTTCTGGCTACAGCAGGCTCTAAAGAAAGCCCAAGCTGACTCCCCGATTTATCTGTCAGCAGAAATGAAATCTCCTAGAAGGATTAGAAGAGAAAGCTGAAAAATTCTCCCAGAAAGTAGAACAGAATGACAGATGAAAGTCAAAAATAAAGGTTGAAAATTAAAGAACTATTCTCAAAAGTCTTATATCTGAATAATAAGAGTGCTAGAAAAAGAACAAACAATGGAAATTAAGAGGAGGGAATTAAAAATATAAACCACGAAAAATGTTCAGAACTGAAAGATGAGTTTTCCTATTTAAACAAGTAAGCACCAACATAACTGATTAAAATAGATTCACATCAAGATCTATATCATTGCGAAGTTTCATGACACTGGAAAGAGATAATCCAAAAAAGAGAGAGAGAGAGTTAATCCTGAAAAATTCCAAAGTTATCATGTAAAGAACTGGGAATCGAGATGACAGTGAGGGGATCCACATGGGAAGGTCCCAGACTCACACCATAGCCTCTCCCTGACATGCCAGGCATGTGCATACATGCCCATGATCTGGGATGGAGGTAGACTGTGTCATGAGGACCCAGTTGGGGGTGCCTGTCTCTGTCTCTCTTTCTCTCTCTCATGTGGAAGAAATAAAAAATAAACAAACAAATAAATAAAGATAACATGACTTCTCAATTACAACACTGTATTCTAGAAGATAGTTGTATAATGTCTCCAAAAACTTAACTGATTAAATATTTTAAAAGTCTAAGGGGAGCCAGGCACATGTGCGTGCGGGCCCAAGATCCCAAGAGGAGAATGGAGAAGGGATTGTGTGTGGCCATCCCCCCGGGGGGTGATTTCTCACTTTCTGTCTCTCTGTCTCTTTCTGCTGAGTGCACATGCCCTATAGCAAAAATTTCTCCAAAAAAAAAAAAAAGTCTAAGGGAAGGGGCCAGCAGATGAATATATATTTATTATATATATTATATAATTTATACTATATATATACAATGACTATATAAATACATGATTTATTATAGAAAATTTAGACAATATAAGAAAGTGAGCCCCCCAAAATCACCCCAACCTTATTACTTCAACATAGCCATGTTAATATTAGGTCATCAGGAAAGTCAAGTTATAGTTTTCTGTGTTTTTCTATGGAGAAATGTGTCATAACTTGCCTGACAACCCAATATCTTGTGGCATTTCATTCTAGCCTTTTTTCCATGCACATATGTGTGTATATAATGAAATGTCTTATATTCTTCTTAGTCTTTGAAAATATTGTTTGTTGTTTTTGAGAGACATTTTTTGCTATAGGGCACATGTGTTCACCGGAGAGAGAGAGAGAGAGAGAGACAGAAAATGAGAAGCCGCCAGGGAAGTGACCACACTGCAACCCTTTCTCCTCCATTCTTCTCTCAGGATTTTGGGCACACATAAACACATGCTTGACATTAGTTTCAAGCCACTGGGTCCAGGACTTGAACTATGGTTGCCCATGTGGGAGTCGAACAACGTAACCATTATGCCCTGTAATAGTCATGTTTTTCAGCATGTATGAATAATTTCCATGTCTTTGCCATTATAAGTAATGTTGTACTAAGTATGCTGGTATATTAAACTTTGTCTACTTTGGACTATTTTTCTATTAGATATTTGGAAATGGAATCACCAAGTAAAAGCATATGAACTCCCGATTCTCCTGTACACATAACTGAAAATTGCTGTCAATGACAAAAGTCAAGGTGTTGATAGAGTAGAGAGGAAAGGACACGCTGCCCCTCTGCTAATAAAAAATTATTTAAAGATCGAGATTATCATTTTTTGTAATGTTTATTTTCAATATGTGTCACGCAGTTTTGTGGTTTCCCCTTTATAGGTACTCATTTGCGATTGTGGGCATCAATATAACTGACCTGGCGTACAATCTACTGGTCAGTGGAGCTCTAAAGACCCACTTCTACAACATCGCTCCGGAAGCTCCAACACTGTCTCACTTCCAGCAGACATTCTGTAAGTGTCCTGTTGTCCAACTGTCAATACAGGCTTCTACAGAACATTCCAGGCATGGGTCGAAGCTGAGAGGCCTCTGTGATTTGGCTGCTATGGGGGCCTTTGAACTTTTTTTGATTTTTATTTCTTTTCTCTCATTCAAAACCTACATTTATATTTTCAGGCATCATGGATTATGTTCTTCCTCAGTTCTTGCATAATATCCACTGTATGTACTTCTGCTTTGACTTAAAGACACAGGCATCTCCCTCTTTCTGGCTACAGCAGGCTCTAAAGAAAGCCCAAGCTGACTCCCCGATTTATCTGTCAGCAGAAATGAAATCTCCTAGAAGGATTAGAAGAGAAAGCTGAAAAATTCTCCCAGAAAGTAGAACAGAATGACAGATGAAAGTCAAAAATAAAGGTTGAAAATTAAAGAACTATTCTCAAAAGTCTTATATCTGAATAATAAGAGTGCTAGAAAAAGAACAAACAATGGAAATTAAGAGGAGGGAATTAAAAATATAAACCACGAAAAATGTTCAGAACTGAAAGATGAGTTTTCCTATTTAAACAAGTAAGCACCAACATAACTGATTAAAATAGATTCACATCAAGATCTATATCATTGCGAAGTTTCATGACACTGGAAAGAGATAATCCAAAAAAGAGAGAGAGAGAGTTAATCCTGAAAAATTCCAAAGTTATCATGTAAAGAACTGGGAATCGAGATGACAGTGAGGGGATCCACATGGGAAGGTCCCAGACTCACACCATAGCCTCTCCCTGACATGCCAGGCATGTGCATACATGCCCATGATCTGGGATGGAGGTAGACTGTGTCATGAGGACCCAGTTGGGGGTGCCTGTCTCTGTCTCTCTTTCTCTCTCTCATGTGGAAGAAATAAAAAATAAACAAACAAATAAATAAAGATAACATGACTTCTCAATTACAACACTGTATTCTAGAAGATAGTTGTATAATGTCTCCAAAAACTTAACTGATTAAATATTTTAAAAGTCTAAGGGGAGCCAGGCACATGTGCGTGCGGGCCCAAGATCCCAAGAGGAGAATGGAGAAGGGATTGTGTGTGGCCATCCCCCCGGGGGGTGATTTCTCACTTTCTGTCTCTCTGTCTCTTTCTGCTGAGTGCACATGCCCTATAGCAAAAATTTCTCCAAAAAAAAAAAAAAGTCTAAGGGAAGGGGCCAGCAGGTGACATGGTGCTCTGGACTCCCACATGGCTGACTGCAGTAGGTGTCCTAGAGCTGGTGACTTGCTTTCTCGGTTTCCCTCTCACTTTCTGTCTCCCTCTCGCTGCTAAGCACATGTGCCCTGTAACAAATTTAAATAATAACAGTAACAATAAATAGAATTAAATAATTTTTTTTTTTTTAAAAAAAGTCTAAGGGAATAAGACTTACAGTAAGATTTTTTTTTTTTTTTTGTGAGAGGGATTTTTGTGACAGAAAGTGAGAAATCACCTCCGGGGAAATGGCCATGCTGCAATCCCTTCTCCTCCATTCTTGTCTTGGGACTTTGGAGCATGCACTCACATGTGCCCAGTGTGAGTTTCAAGCCATCAGGTCCGGATCTTGAACTGCAGTCGACCATGTAGGAATTCAACACCTTAACCACTATACCACTTGCTGGCCCTTCCAGTTAAAATTCTATATGCAGTCTAATTTACCAATTAACTGTGGGAATAGAAATGAAGACTTTATTTCTTCTTTTTTTTAGAATTATTTTATTAATTATTATTATTTAGCTTGCTATAGTCATCAGAGAGAGTGAGTGGGAAAGCAAGCCGCTAGGTCCAGGACCAGAACTGCAGTCAGCCATGTGGGAGTCTAGCACCCTAACCACAACACCACCTGCTGATTCCAAGACTTTTTTTTTTTTAATTCAAGGTCTTAAGCATTATACCTCCCTATATCTTTATCAGGAAACTCCTAAAGTATGTTTCCACAAGATAAGAGAGTAACCCTAAAAAGAATACATGGAGTCCAGAAAAGAGAAAATCTACCCTTATGAGAGAAGTAAAGGAAACTTTTTAATATAAAGTTTCTAGAACTCTGAAAAATTAAAAGAGCTCACACTACAAATTGGGGATTTATCAGCACTGAGTTGAAAAATCAGGGTCATACAGTGGGAGAGACTGGGAAATAATTAGAATCATAAGGAACTGGCATTCAAGGGCAAGAATGTTTGATTCACAGCCATATCCTGAGCATAGAACCTGGTACAAAGTTCGTACTTAGTAACTGTTTGTTGGGTGAGTGGATGGATGGATGGGTGGATGGATGGGAGGCTAAAATAACTGATGAAGTTCTTGGCAGGGGGACAGGTGCCTAGTTTCTCTGGAAAAATTTTATCCTCTGCCAGAATCAGTATGCTTCCAAGAGAATCCTAGCCCAGATAAGTATACATGCAATAGGAGTACTTCTTTTCAGGTAATCTTATCACAGCTGGAAAAAAAGCAACAGTCCTCCTATGGACTCAGGCCCCTCCAGAACAAGCAAACTGTGCCCTCGATTCACTGCTCCCCATCAAACATGATTGGTTCTTCATGTCTCCTCTGTAATATTCTTGCAATTACCTGTGTCTCTGCTCTCTTCTAACTAAATGCAGTGAAGCAAAACCACATTCAAGCACCAATAAATAGACTGCAGGCGTGAGTTGGAAAACTGTATTAGTATTCAAAACAAGTATTTCATCTAGGTGGAAGAATATAAGAATATAATAGCTCTATTATTCCAACTTTATAATATTACTCGGCGAACACTGTGCTGCCCAGGCAATGTGTTACAAAAATTGCATTCAATCTGAAGCTCTGCTGAACACACAGCCCCACTGAAACTGAGGGAGGTTAGGTGTGGGAAACAGAAGAACATACAATGGCCAGAAGAGGAAAATAAATTGCTTTTTCTTTGACCTTTCTAAAAAAAAAAACCTATTCGGCAGGAATAGGAAGCAGAGGGACAGAATGCACCAGAAAAGGCAGGCTGTTGCAGTGCTGGGAAGTCAGACAGTTTCAAGTCTTGGCTTCCTCCCATCTTCTCGTTGTCATTGTGTAGCTGTACACTACTCAAGAACCTTGTCTAGCTTTGTGTTTTCACCTGTAAAATGGAGATATAATGCCTATATTACCTACCCACAAAGCTGTCGTAAGAGGTAAATGAGAGACTGTAAGCAGAGCCTGTTCCCTGTTTTCTCATTCTCCTTTCCATGTCCCTTTGTTAGCGTCCTTAACTAACAAATTATCAGCTGAAATTGTATACCTGCCTGCCTTTCTCTAAGAAACAAGAATAGGAAGTACAGGAACTACCTTCTCTTCATCCTCAATACTTAATACAGTATCTGTTACATACTTGTTATTTGGTAGATGGGTCAACTAACCAGCTGACCGAATGAATTTTTAAACACTCAGTAATGTTATGTAAAGAACAGAGTTTTATGATTATAATACATAATTCCATAAGCCTGGAAGTCAGGCTCCCAGTCCTGCATTTTTATTAAGATCATGTTATAATTATTTTCCTGATGGGATACAGAGAAAGAATCTCATGGAATCAGTCTGCAAGCTTTACAGTTTAACTCCCGTAAACTTAACAGGAAGGATCTTGAAAATGGTGTCAGATTATGAACTACCCTCTCCTCCACCCTTACCCTAACCTTTTATAAAATCAAAGTGTTTTCTAGTAATTATATGTAAGGTAGAAAAGTAGGGAAACCAAACGGATCTGGATTCATTTAGAATTCTATGTTATGCTGCATTACCTTTACGGGTGTTGCCAATATAACTGCACTTTCCAGAAAGGTGAATGTTTTTATGTATGTTGTGGAAAAACTAATTCTTCAGTAAAAAAGGATTTTTCTTAGGGCTTACTTATTATTGTCAATAGAAGTAAAGACACTGTCTTTCATGAAATACTCATGAGCTGTTTCATGGATTATTTTATTCATCGCTTGCCTATAAAATAGCTCAGGTGTGTTCAGTTGATCTCAGAGACCTCTCAGGAAAACTCTATCTGTATTTCATAAAGTAAGGAAAGATGAAATTATAAAAGGTCATAGATTTCTTTCAGAAGCGTGAAAATTATAACATTTAAAAATAAGCTAAAAGGAACCAGCAGGTGGCATGGTGGCTAAGGTGCTGGACACTCCCACATGGCCGACCACGGTTTGAGTCCCGGACCTGGTGGCTTGCTTTCTTGGTTTCCTTCTCTCTCTCTACTCTCTCTGCTCAAATAAGAATAAATGAATAAATAAATAAAATTAAATTAAAAGTAATGATTAAAAAGTAAAAATAAGCTAAAGGAACTTTGAAAGAGGGTATTTACTAGACCAAAGTTCTAAAATTTTAGTGACACAAAATCCATCTTTTTAGTTGCGATTCTGATTGAATCTGGAAAGATCTGCATTCTTACCAAGCACTCCAGACCATTTGGGGGATATTCTAAGATTGTCCTATCATAGAAATGGATGGATGACTGAATTCTTTGGTTGAGTGAGATTCTGAGATGAAGAAGCAAGTTTCTGATGGTGTACGCTAAAACAACCAGGATGATAAACAGACCCTGAATCATGGTGTATGAGAAGTGGTGAGGAGAAATAGGGAGGCTAATCCTATAAAAGACATCAGCCCAGGACACCACGCATACTTCACACACTTGAGTTGGAAAAGTTTTTGCTGGAGAAAAATTTGTTCCATGAAATACAGGACAACAGCTTTTGGCCCAGTGTGAGGAAAAACCTTTAAGAATCACATTCCTCATATACCGACAGTCAGGGTTGTCACCAGAAACGTTCAAGCCCAGAGGCCACCTCGGGGAATCTAAGTGTCTGAAGCACAGAGACAGATGAGATGGCTTCCAGGGTGACTGATATCTCTGACTTGGGGCTTTCCTGGTGTGGTCCGGTTTCTGTGAAAGTGGTAGCAGGCTCTGGCTTGTGTAACCTGCAGGCCAGTGGGGTGACAGCTGGCGTGGGCCCTGCACAGAAGAGTTTAAAGCAGTGGTGCCATTTATTGCATGTGGAAGGCCCAAGGACTGGCTAGTCATAAAGGAATGAAAAGTTAACCTGAAAGAAATGAAAAACGAATTCTCCTTTCTACTCTCCCTTCTATATTTGTAGAGAGGCCATGTTCTTAAGCAGGCATAAGCATGCTTAACGATGTAACAAGAGGAGTAATCACAGAGCTAAGAGTTTATGGAAGTGGGTCAACATCTGACAATGAGTGCTGGGGGAGGGAAGACCACTTCTAATTTTTTATTACAGTGAGATGTTAATAGAGATTTTTAAAAATCTGCTTATGGAGCTATGTTGAAGGTTGCCCATATGTAATTAGTTACCAGAAAAAAACAAAAGCTTTTTTTCTTTTGGTTACTATTAGAATTAAGTATGTTTGTTCTAAATTCTCTCCTTCCCTGCCCCCATCACCTCCACTGTTCACTCCTGTCCCATTTCCATTTCCAGGATTCAAACCAGAGCTAGAATTCATACTAGGTTTGTCTACAGAGTCTTGGCCCCTATTTTCTACTGCCTTCTAACAGTAAGGCAAATGTTAGAATTGTCTAATGTTTACTTATCTTTCTTTCTTTCTTGCCTTAGGGCATCTGTGCTTGTGAGAGAGAGAAACACAGACTGACAGTGAGAGGGAAAGTGAGAAATCACTCTGGGGGAGGGGGGCAGTGGGATGGCCATGCTGCAGTCCCTTCTTCACTCTCCTCCTGGGGTCTTAGGCACACACACACACGTGTCCAGCATGAGTTTCAAGCCATCAAGTCCAGGACTCAAATCGCAATCAGCCATGTGGGAGTCCAGTGATGTAACCACTACTCCACCTACTGACCCTACTTCTCTTTTTTAAAACTAGCATTATTTCCTTAAATACTTTTTTCCTAAAATATAGAGACACCTGAGCTTACAATATCTAATATTGTCATTTTTAAAAGTTATTCACGTTTTAATTCTAAATGTGGTGGACAGAAATGAATGAATTAATGAATGTGGTGAAGAAAGGGGGCACAATAGGGAAGAGAGCACAATGAATAAGTTTTTTTTATCAAATATTTAACATTTATGCCAAAATTTTTCCAATCCAGATCATTCGTAGCTAATATTTTTGAGATACAAAAGTGTTTCAATATAAAATTATGCTTCAGAACAAGGAAATCTTATTAACAATTTCGTGCAGTTTAATGACCAGTCTGTGTTGTTCAGTGTTCATTTACAATTTTTATTTGCCTCATAATAGATTGTCAGAACACATTTGTTTGATTTGTCAAGGTAATTTAAAACTTTAGTTGAGTCAAATATCAAGAGGAAAGAGGCTAAGTGGAGTAATTTTGAAAAATTGGACTATTATGCTAATTTAATTAGAGGGAAAGATGTAGTAGTCACTGTTGGCCTTTCAGAATATGTTCCTGATGGCAAAATTGATTTGTCTTCCTACTTGAAAAAAGTGAGAATAATTCTAGGAACAACTGCAAAAATCTTGCAGTTTGGTAGCTGCTACTGCACTGATTTAAAATAATAATATATTTTTAAAAGAATTAATTGCAACTATTATTATTATTTTAATTCATTATAAGGCACTCATTAGAGAGAGAAAGAAAGAGGGGGAAAGAGAGAGAGAAAAAGTGACAAAATAACCTACCAGGTCTAGGACTCAAACTATAGTCAGCCATGTGGGAGTCCAGCACCTTAACCACCACTCCACCTGCTGGCCCCAAAAGAATAATCTTAAACAGGCATATTTGCTATATTTTGATATCTTCTTTGAACTCCATGGTAGTTGTTGTTTGGGTCCACTATCTTCAGCATTTTCTTAGTGTGATTAAGGACCTTGTTCTCCTGTGTTTACAGCACTGTCTTATCTCTCACAGGCTAGAGGAAAGAGGCTAAGTGGAGTAATTTTGAAAAATTGGACTATTATGCTAATTTAATTAGAGGGAAAGATGTAGTAGTCACTGTTGGCCTTTCAGAATATGTTCCTGATGGCAAAATTGATTTGTCTTCCTACTTGAAAAAAGTGAGAATAATTCTAGGAACAACTGCAAAAATCTTGCAGTTTGGTAGCTGCTACTGCACTGATTTAAAATAATAATATATTTTTAAAAGAATTAATTGCAACTATTATTATTATTTTAATTCATTATAAGGCACTCATTAGAGAGAGAAAGAAAGAGGGGGAAAGAGAGAGAGAAAAAGTGACAAAATAACCTACCAGGTCTAGGACTCAAACTATAGTCAGCCATGTGGGAGTCCAGCACCTTAACCACCACTCCACCTGCTGGCCCCAAAAGAATAATCTTAAACAGGCATATTTGCTATATTTTGATATCTTCTTTGAACTCCATGGTAGTTGTTGTTTGGGTCCACTATCTTCAGCATTTTCTTAGTGTGATTAAGGACCTTGTTCTCCTGTGTTTACAGCACTGTCTTATCTCTCACAGGCTATTTGATGCACGAGTTTCATAAGTTTTGGATTGAAGAAGACCCCATGGACATAATGGAATTTAATCGTGTGCGGGAGAAATTCCGCAAGAGGATTGTAAAACAGCTGCAGAACCCAGACATGGCACTGTGCCCACATTTTGCTGCCTCTGAAGGTTTAATTAACATGTAGTCGCCCACGCTGATTCTAATGAATACCATGGAACACTGCCTCATTGTCGTGTTAGATCTCTGCTTAGGTCCCAGCTCACACACTGAATGCACACAGTGATTGTATGCATGCCTTTTGGTACAGTATTTTCATCTCTTGGTCATAATTCCAAGATCTCCAGAAACCATGATTTCTGGAGTATCTGTCATCCAGTGACTGCTCATATTGTGGCATTACGCAGTGTTACATCTTGCCTTGACACCCAGGTATGAAGAGAGTTTTCTATTTTTTTAGACTTTTTCCTCCCCCTCATAACTCAGCATCGAAGAACTGTTATTTCTCTAGCTGTGTTTTGTATGTATGAGGTTTAGCTGAATCTCGTTCTGTGAAATTCCTTTAATTTATTGATATGTTTCATGACTATTGCTGCTAGCTTTTCAAGTCAGGTTCATGCTTGGACCTCATTCTGATAAAGCATAAGACTTAAAAATAATACAGACAGACACATGACAAGCCAAACTGTTCCTGTAAACATAGCTGCTCTTCATGAAAATGTAATGAGGCTTACGAGAAGTAACTTTAGGTAGGAGCTGCTTTTGTTTGGAGTACTGCAGAATTATATTGTAACTTACCCCAGTTGCAATTGTACCATAGTCACCTGGATATCAAATTATTTTACTCCCATCATTTCACTGACTTGGATGCCTAAATATGTTCATGATGCGTGGAGCCTCAGAAAAGAGGTAAGCATATTTTGAAAGCTGCAAAAGATTTTTCACTGCCTGCCTCTTGCTGAACTCAAGTTACATCCTGGCACTGTTCTGATCCAAGCATCTTTGCTTTAGGAACCGAGTGCTGACTGGTTCGTTTTCTATGTCAAGGGGCAATAATAAAAGAAAAAAGATTATTTTTGCAAGAAAGTGTGTTGCAAGAGAGGAACCTCAGCTACACCACTCTGCAATATTTCTTGAAAACTAATGACCTTGTCTTGTGTCAGTGGAAAATATAAATTGCTTGAAAGGAGTAAAATCAAATCATTCCAAAACTGCTAAAAATCATTTTAAAAATCATGATTTAGTTTGGAATTATGATTGTAGTCTGTTGAATAGTATTTACCATGGCATTTCATACCCATGGTATTTTATATCTTCTGACTATCGATTTTAGTATTATTAGATGTTTGTGTAATCACTTGCTTATTTAAATGAATTTTGAGTACTGCCTAACTTGTCAGTTATATGAATAAATTACATGTCATTCTACTGTAACATGTACTGGATTTCATTTTAATATTTTTGTGCTCTTGAATAGCTTCTGAATATGCAAATGTATGGGTGGGTAGAGTGTCAAATATAGACAACCTGGCACTGGCTGTAAAACAGGCCGTCATTCAGAGTCACCACGTGTTAGGCAGAATATGTTATGTCTGAGATGCGTCTTTAATCTTGAGGCCTGATAATGCTCTACTGGGAGAATAAGAGCCAACTTTTTATTCATTACTACTGATTAAGTCTGGATTGCCTACTGCTATATGGCTGACAAAGAGGAACTATGAACTGCCCCTTGTTTCCTTTTCCAGGCTAGCTCCTTTGGGATTGTGCTGTCCTTTCTCTTACCCCATGTACCAGGTTGCAACATTTTGCTTTGCCGCTAGTATAGCCCTGTGCCCTTTCTTAGAATGGACAAGGGAAGTGGTTGGTTAATACATGATGTATACTATGAGTAATAGCAGACTACGTATTCCTCTCTAGAGTAAGTGAGAACTTGTGAACCTAGTAAATGGCCTGTCTTGGGAGCACTGAATCCCCACTACAGCTGAGCGGCTGAAGGTGAAGGCATTGTTCCATATGCACAACAGCCTCTGTCAGCCACATGTGTGCACTGTCTCTTCCTATCCACTGTGGTCCGTATCACTGACATGGCTTGATAGTATGTGGCACTTTCACCAGCTCACGTCTCTTCTGTTCAGGTAGAGACAGCTGATGCTAACAAAGCTGGGTTTGCTCTCCTGGTCTCCTGGAAGCTTTCTCTCTATCACATCCTAACATGGCTGCACAATTTTAGGATGCTCTCCCAGCTCTGTCTAGTTCTGAGTATTATTAGATCTCTCATTCACACCTCTTTGTGTAAGATGCATTCTAGCCAGTAACATAAAGTGAGGTGAGAAAAAAAGGAGGAGAAGGCTTCAAAAGCATCAAAAATATATGGTGTGTGTGTGTGTGTTTCCCTTGTGTATTTTTATCTTGCTATACTTGTCTGGCTGAACAAGGGTTGACCACATAAAATGTAAATTGTGTAGCAAACTTGTTCTAAGTTTCCCCAAACACTATTTGCTATGTTAAAAACATATTCGTTTAAAATACAGAAGGAAAACTCTTTGAAGCACTATTTCTTTCTCTTTTTTTAAATAATTATTTTATTTCATTTTTTATTTATTTATTTTATTTTAATTTGACCAGAGAAGAACAGAGAGAGAGAAAGTGAGAAAGCAAGCTACCAGGTCCGGGACTTGAACCATAGTCAGCCATGTGGGAGTCCAGCACCCTTAACCACCACACCACCTGCTGGACCCTGAAGCACCATTTCTGAAACTTGACATTTCAATCTGACTCTCCTATTCACAATTCCTGTTAATGTATTGTACTGAAAAAAATTTTTTCCTGGCAACCTATCATCTTTTCTGTATTTTTGTTTGTTTGCTTTAAGTTTACTTATTTCTTCCATGAGCAAGAGAGACAGAGACAGAGAGAAAGAGAGAGAGTGCACTTCCAACAGGATCATAATGCCATGATCTACCCAAGACCTTCATCCAGTCCTGGATCACAGGCGAGACCATACCCAGCACACTCAGGGAAGTCTCCAACCTTGAGCTAAGAACATCCCCACGAAGGATTATCCCACGTGCTTAACCACTGCACCACCATGTGGCCTTTTCCTATATTTCAAAAGGAGTTCAGTTATATACCAATCCCAAGAGATAGTGTGACCTTTTACTACATCTTCTACACCAGGAAACTTTTCAAAGATAAAGAGGATGTTGTTAATAATATCTTCAGGACAACAAGGTAAACTGGGTTTTGGGGAAATTGACATATTAAGTGACCCAGAGAGATCAAGAGACAGTACAGACTGTACCCACAACTCAATTAAGCAACTACAACCCCGTTTCTTTACTTTCTAACCTCTGGCTAGAGACACAGGGACATAGACATTTTGATATCCAGGATACAACTCCAAGTATTAGAGACCCATCAAAACTATGGGCTTGGTCTGTACACTGAGAAGTTCAGCTGCCTCGACTGGCCTAAGTTGGAAATGAGAAAATAAGACCTGATAGTCAAACTCTATAACCAGAAATCGTCTTGATCAGTAAACATACGGGGTCAAATACAAACTGAATAGGAGTGAAGAGGAGACCAGAGTTGGCAGAATGTGGGGACAGAAGATGGGAGTGAGGGAGAGAAGAAGGGAATAGACAGAAAGGAAAGTGAAGCCAACCCCACTTCTAGAAAGCTGAGCTGTAGCAACATGCACTCTATCAAGGCAATGCCTCTAACTCCCCAGGGAGCTCCACAGAGGTAACTAATCCAGAGGCAGAAGAGCAGAAAAGCAAAACTGAGTATGTATAACATCAAGTCCTAGAAGATCAAAGAGATTCTGGCATGGATTCAATTTCGAGAACTAATGTTTTGTAAGTTCTTTTTTTCTTTTTATGTGTATTTCTTCCATAAGAGACAGACAGAGAGTCCCAAAAGGGTGTTCATTCTGGGTCTACCCCTGGTCTCAGGCAGCTCAGATCACAGGCATGCATTCTGTACCTAGCACGCTGGGTACAAACCCGTGGCCTTTCCCATGTGGGTCTAAGTAGCATTATTATTGTGCCACTACCTGTTCTCATTTTGTTCTCACACATGCCGTCTGCCAGGCCTATGCTAATTCTTACCTTGCAGTTGTACTACTTTACCTTTTTTTTTTTTTTTCAGTCTGAAAACAGCCACTCTGTTTATTTACTGACCAGATTACAAAAATAATCATGGTGGATACCTTAGTTCATCCTTCTAATAAGTCTGTTGATCTGGTCTTCCCTGTTGCCAGCATCTCCACCTTCTACAAAATGGGTGGTCTTTTTCTTCATTCCACCTCATGGAGAAGATAATTTGAAGGGCCACAGGAAGTCATTTGCTTCTTTGAAGCATTTTCCAACACTATAGATTTTGTGAATCAGATCCTCCATGCAGATGATGCCAAATTTACCAAAAGATCAAGTAATCACTGAGTTATCTGTCAAAGCAATTCTCTTACTGATTTTGCCACAACCGCGTTCATAGATCAGTTCACTTACTGACTTCAGGTTCGGGTACCCCCATGCAATATATGGTTCCATATTCTTAGCATGTTAATCGAGGCCTGGTTGAGCTTAACAAAGGTGCCACTGAGGATCTGGCGAAGACGAAAAAGCTGCAACACCTATTAAACCTTTGGGCTCACTCCACAGATACCTCTGATCTTGATGACAAACGCCAATTTAGGTTCTGCAGGTACATGGAAGTTGCCAGCTTTTCTTGCCATCCTGGCCATGCGAATCTCAGTTCTGTATGTCTGTCTATATTCCTTATGATAGTGCTTAGCTTTTTCATAGATAAGCTTCTTTCTTGCCAGCATCTTTTGAGCAAACTTTTTTCTCAGGCACTTGATCTTTAGCTCCACAAAATTCCTGTGTTTTATCTTAAGGGTTTCTGGCACAGCAGGAACCTTTTTCTTGGTGGCTTCTGCCCAGCAGGAGCCTTTTCCTTGGTTTCTGCCACAGCAGGTACTTCTTTTTCTTCTCTTGAATAACCTCCATGGTTCTAGCCAGAAAAGAGGACTGTACTACTTTATCTTAACAACATACAAAGTCAGATGGGTTTTGTTTGTTGCTTGTTTTCCTAGACAAACAGGCTTACAGAATGTGGCCACACTGCCAGTGATCTCAAGAGAGAGCAGTAGGCCCAGATATGGTAGTGCAAGCCCCCAGAGTGATGCTAAAGATCATATGGGTAGGCTCAGGCGCATGTCCCAGGGTTGCCAGAACAGCCAGGTGCCCCCATTATCCTGGCTAACTGCAGGTCTTGGGGAGGATAGCAATAAGAAAACCCTGCTGAGAGTGCAGCCTCTGTCTTTCAGGGAATAAATACATTTTTAAAAGCAAGTGAGAGAGAAGTAATTAGCATAGGTAGACTCTGAATCTACAGCCCAAAGCCCAGATTTTTAATCATGATGCTGTGCACCTAATTAGAATTCTCTACTGTCCCGGGGGCTGGTATTTTGCAGAGGGGCTTACAACTACAGAGCCTCGTCTGCAGTATGCTCATGCTGGGAGCTACAGGGCATTTCTGGAAGAAGAAAAGCCCACAGAACTTTGGGCACATGTATTTTTTTTTTAAGTAAGTAGCTATTTTAAGTATTTATCAGCAATTTGAGGCAGACATGAACAAACAGGAATACATGGAGGATGATGCAGACTGAGAACATTTCAACGTATTCACAGCCCAGTCAGAATACTATGGTGCTATATAGTATAAACAATTATTCAGTGATATTTCCATTTATTTCACTTTCAGTAATAAAATTTTTTTCTATCTCATGCATAACTGAAGAAACAATGGTTTATTATTCTAATCAAGTGACCAAGCTGCTGAATCTTAAGGCCTCGTCAAAAGTTGTTTTGTATTATTTTCATATAACAACAAGACTTTCTAATTTGATTGTCCTCGGTATACATCAGATCCGACCCCTTTAGAGTCAGGCAGCCTGGATCTGGCTGCCGGCTGGTTAGGAGAGTAAGAGCCTCTGTCCTGCACCTGGAGACCAGGGTCTGTGAGCTGTCATCCTGAGGGAAGAAGTCTTAAGGGAAGCTGAGCTTATGGACAACCCCTATGCAGGGAGAGAGGGGAATCTTCAGTCACACTGCTTTACCTAAGTGGCCCAGAGAGCTCATGACTTACCTTTTGACAAGTCCACTCGTATCACACCAGTATACTTAGATCTTTGACCTACTAGCTCTTCTGTGCCAAGTGTATTGCAATTATAGAGGAATAGGGACATCAACAGCCTCAAGCTGCATGATACTAATAGTTATATAATCTACATTCAGTCAAGTTTTTCTTATTTCTTCAGAGAGCAATAGGAGAAAAAACTAGCAGTTGGAAAACCCAACTACTAGCGTGTTGCTAGCCTTCCTTAGGTTAATGACATTTCTGACTTTCCTTTTACCATCCTTAACATTAATAACAGCTCCTCCTTGGAGAGTGACTAGGAGAACAAAAATTCAAACAAGTATCTATTAATTGAAGTGCTTGGGAAATCCCAAAGTAGTAGTTAAACACGTTTGCTTATGGTTTGGTTTTTATCCCTGTTTGGGGTAATGAACTTAATCTAACAAAGAATTAAGCTACAAAACTTGTCCTTGTAACCAGTGTCCTTTATTAATTCCATTCAGCAAATATTTATTGAGAACTTACTTTAGTGCCAGTCACGATGACAAGGTTGGGGATCAAATGGGGAAAAGACAGTGGTCTTGGTCTCAGGGACTTCATAGTCTAAATCTAAGACCTTGTTTCTCTCCCCAAAGCCTGCTCTTTGGACCCTCAGCATATTCACTCTTAGACAGGAATCATCTTAGCCCGCACCCCAGAGCTTCTGAAGGAGAATCTTCACTTTAACACCCTCCCTAGGTAGTCTGTGTGTACATCAATAAGAGGAGCACTGCTCTAGGGGATATTGACTTGGCTGCTCTCTACTGAAACCTGATAAGGTTTACTCTCAACTGTTAAAGGTT